TGAAAGAGAGAAAGAGACCATCCATCTACCATTTTACCCCTTCAACATCACAACAGCTGCACTAGGCTGAAGCTAGGAACCAAGAACGCAATACAAGTCTCTGGATGACAGGGACCCAAGTACCTGAACCATCACTAGATGCTTCCTCTGGGAAATTGGCTAAGAAGAGGAGCTGGCACTCAAACTCAGAGACTTCCAATATGCGACATGACCATCCAACTGGTATCTTAACTACAGCACCCAACTGACCAACACCCACTCCAGTCTTTTTTTTTTTTTTTTAAGATCTATTTATTTGAAAGACAGTTACAGAGAGAGGTAGAGACAAAGAGAGAGAGGTCTTCCATCTGCTGGTTCACTCCCCAAATGGCTGCAATAGCCGGAGCTGTGCTGATCTGAAGCCAGGAGCTTCTTCCAGGTCTCCCAAATGGGTTCAGGGGTCCAAGCACTTGGTCCATCTTCCACTGCTTTCCCAGGCCATTAACAGAGAGCTGGATTGGAAGTGGAGCAGTGGGGACTCAAACTGGTACCCATATGGGATACTGGCACTGCAGGCTGGGGCTTTAACATGCTGCATCACAGCACCAGCCCCCAGTCTTTATTTTTAATTAACTTTTAGTTTTAAAATTAGCTTTCCTACATAGGAAACCATTCTAAGATTTAGTCTTTTAAAAACTAACAGTTGGGTGGCCAGTGCCTAAGAAAGCAGCAGAAGATGGCCCAAGTCCTTGGGCCCCTGCACCCACATGGGAGACCTGGAAGAAGCTCCTGGCTCCTGGCCAGGATTGGTTCAGCTCTGGCCATTGTGGCCATCTAGGGGAGTGAACCAACAGATGGAAGACCTCTCTCTCTCTGCCTCTCCTTCTCTCTCTGTGTAACTCTGACATTCAGATAAATAAATAAATCTTTTAAGAACAACAATAACAACAACAAAAAAAACAACTAACAGTTGGGTTGGTGAACATTTGGCCTAGAGTTAAGTTGCCATGTGGGCTACTGGCATCTCATATTGGGGAGCCTGGGTTCAAGTCACAGCTCCCCTTCTTGAACATAGCTTTCTTTCCTTTTTTTTTTTTTTTTTTGTTTGTTTGTTTGACAAGCAGAATGGACAGTGAGAGACAGAGAGAAAGGTCTTCCTTTTTCCGTTGATTCACCCCCCAATGGCCACTGTGGCCGGCGCCCTGCAGCCGGTGTACCGCGCTGATCTGAAGCCAGGAGCCAGGTGCTTCTCCTAGTCTTCCATGCAGGTGCAGGGCCCAAGGACTTGGGCCATCCTTCACTGCCTTCCCGGGCCACAGCAGAGAGCTGGACAGGAAGAGGAGCAACCGGGACAGAATCTGGCACCCGACCGGGACTAGAACCCGGTGTGCTGGCACCGCAGGCGGAGGATTAGCCTATTGAGCTGTGGCACCGGCCTGAACATAGCTTTCTGTTAATGCAAACAGGTGACGGCTCAAGTACTTGGGTTCTTGCCACCCATGTGGGAGACCTGGACCGAGTTCCTGGCTCCTGGCCCAGCCCCAGCTGCTGTGGGCATTTGGGTAGTGAATCAGTGAATAGGATCTCTCTCTTTCTCTTCAATTAAATGTTTTTTGTTTTTATATATTTTGTTTGAGAGGCAGAGAGAGACAGAGAGAGTGAGATCTCCCATCTCCACTCCCCAAATGTCTGCAACAACCAGTGCTAGGCCAAGCCAAAGACAGGATCTAGAAACTCAATCCAGATCTCCCACATGGGGAGCAAGGGCCCTGTTATTTAAGCCATCACCTGTTGCCTCCCAGAATGCTCATGAGCAGGAAGCCAGAATGGAAAGTGGAGTCAGAGCCGGGCCTTGTACCCAAGCATTCTGACAGCTGCAGGTGTCCCAAATGACAGCTGAAATGGATGTGCCAAATGCCTGTCCCTAGATTCCATTTCATTTATTTTTAAAGATTTATAATTTGTTTGGAAGGCCGAGAGACAGAGAGCCAGGAGCCAAGAACTCCATCCTGGAGCCTCCTACATGGGTGGCTGGGGTCCAAGTATTTGGCCCTTTCTCTGCTGCCTTCCCAGGAGCATCAGCAGGAAGTTGGATGGTAAGTTGAGTGCCTGATAGGGTATGCTTACCACACAAGGTGCGGCTCAACCCGCCTGCTTTGCCATAATGCTGGGCCCTGTGTGTGTGTGTGTGTGTGTGTGTGTTGTGTAAGAGAGGGAGAGGCAGAGGCAGAGAGAGAGGTGTCTTCCATCTGCTGGTTCACTCCCCAAAATGGCCAGGACTGGGCCAAATGGAACCCAGGGGCCAGGAGCTTCCTTCAAGTCTCCCATGTAGGTGCAGGGACCCAAGCACTTGGGCCATTTTGTGCTCCTTTCCCAGGCGCACTAGCAGGAAGCTGGATCGGAAGTGGAGCAGCCAGGATTCCAACCGGTGCTCATATGAGATGCCAGCGCTGCAGGTGGCAGCTTACCCACAGCACCCAGCCTTTAGCTCTGTGTTTTTCAAGATGAAAGACCTCCAGTGTGATTAGGGAACCCTAGACCAGGCCTCGTGATTCCTTTACACGATTGCTCTTTTCATTTCTTTCCATAGAAATGTTTCTAATAACACTGTACCAAGTTATGGCCCTGTACTGACAACCAAAACTATGCTTTTCAACCCCTCTTCCCTAGTGCCCCAACCCCACCAACAAGCCTTCAGGGACGCCAACAGGGAGATGGAACTTGTCTGTGGGTGGTCCTGCCTGAGACTTCAGCTGCCCGCAAGGCTGTAGCCTAGATGTGACAGGAGGCTGGAAATGGTGACATTCTGACATGGCTAGCAGCAGGAAACGTGTCTGTGAGGTGGAGCCGATCAATGGGAACTAGAGAATCATCCAGCTCTACTGAACTTCTCCCCTCTCCAGAGTGGGGGGAGAAAGTGGCCACTGCAGCTGACGGGGCTGTCCAGCTGAAAATTAGATGACCACTGCCACTCCCCAACTTCCCAGCTACCAGATAGGAACCAGAGGGAAAAGTATCCCAAGCTGAAGGAGGGTAGAAGCCAGGCTTATGGTTCATCAGCCTTCTTACCTCCCTGTGGCTGCCACTGGAGCCTAATAAAAGCTGAAACCGTAGCTAGTGGCTCTGTGGGTTGCATCCTCCTACCCCATCACTGACTCCAGGCCTGGGCCCGAGCCCAGTGCATGTGCCGGGAGCAAGGGTGGGGATGTGGCCTTGCTGACAAAATCCATTTGGAATTTGTCAAGGTTGTGGTTTGGGGCTGAAGTTTGCCACAAAGTGTGCATCTGACGAAAGAAAAGGGAGAAAGCTGGGGGGAAAAGAGTCAAAGAAGTACAGAAGAAGGAAGGATTAGAAAAAGCTGGGACGGGGCCGGCACTGTGGTGCAGTAGATTAATCCTCCACCTGCTGCACCTGCATCCCATATGGGCTCCAGTTCGTGTCCCGGTTGCTCCTCTTCTGATCCAGCTCTCTGCTGTGGCCTGGGGAAGCAGTAGAAGATGACCCAAGTCCTTGGGCCCCTGCACCCATGTGGGAGACCTGGAAGAAGCTCCTGGCTCCTGGCTTTGGATCGACACAGCTCCGGCTGTTGCAACCATCTGGGGAGTGAACCAGCGGATGGAAGACTTCTCTCTCTGCCTCTCCTCTCTCTGTGTAACTGACTTTCAAATAAATCTTTTAAAAAATGCAAAAGTTCTGAATGGGGCAGGCATTGTGGTGCAGTGAATGAAGCCACCAATTGCAGTGCCCCCATGTCCTATCTGAATGCCAGTTCAAGTCCCAGCTACTCTGCTTCTGATCCAGCTCCCAGCTAATGTGCATGGTGAGCAATGGAAGATGGGGCTCAAGTAATGAGCCCCTGCTCATTCTCAGGTGGGAGAACTGGAAGGAGCTGACAGCTATGGCTTCACTATGGCCCACACTTGGCTGTTGCAGCTATTTGAGGAGTGAACCAACAGATGTTAAGATCTCTGTCTTTCAGGGTATAGAGGCTTAAGCCTCCACCTGCAGTGCCAGAATCTCATGTAGTTGCCAGTTTGAGTCCCAGCTGCTCCATTTCCAATCCAGCTCCCTGCTAATGCTCCTGAGAAAGCAGCAGAAAATGGCCCAAGTGCTTGGGCCCCTGCACCCATGTGGGAGGCCCAGAAGAAGCTCCTGGCTCCTGGCTTCAGCCTGGCCCAGCCCCAGCTGTGCAGCGGATGGAAGACCTCTCTCTCTCTCTCTCTCTCCCTTTCTCTCTGTGTAACTGTGCCTTTCAAATACATAAAGTACATCTCTGAAAAAAAAAATACAGGAATTCCTTTTGATATGTTCCCCATCCATCTTACATCTACCTCCCAAGTTCTCTATTTGTAATCAGAAGAGAAAAATACCTGTTCTTTTTGGGTCCAGGTTCAATGTTGAGATACATTTAGGACTCGACATTTCCAGAACAGAGGTGATCTGATAGTCTAGAGCAGGCAGTCAGCAAACTACAGGCAAAGGACAAATCCTGTCCCACATCCCAATTTTACAAGTGAAGCTTAACTGGACACAGCCACACTCATATACTCATATATGGGCTATGGCTGGTTCTCATCTGTAACAGCAGAGTTGAGTGGCTGAGACAAAGACCACAAGCCTCATCATATATTTACTAGAAAAAAAAAATGTGCCAGCTCTTGTTCTACAGCAGTGATGGAGGTGAAATCAGGAGCAAGTAAACAAGGCCTACATTTGGATCTGCAGCCCCTCCCACCAAAACTGCCAACCAACCCCACTGTAGGCCATTTCAAATTTTTGGCACTCATTGAGTGAAGGGGTAGGAGGCACCTGGAAAAGCGACCAGGGGCTGAGATCCCAAGCATGGGGAGATAACAATCACCATTTGGACTCACCAACCCAGTAGCTTAATTTATTTTATTTTCAAACAGGAACCAAGAACAAGTCTCAGTACAATAAATTATCCATTCTCAACCCTCCTGCTGAAGAAGGAAAAAGGCTCCAAGAGTCTTAGGTTAAAAAAAAAAAAAAAAAAAAACAAAAACCCTTCCTTTGGAGGGTCTATTTTAACACCTGAATGGAAGGAAGCTCATTCCCTAAGGGCCTGGACAGGATTCAGGGGAGAAGACCCTATCCCACCCTCCCATCTTGTCCCCCAAGACAAATCTTTCCATCACTGTCTCTCATTACCTTTCAAGAGGAGAGCCAGGCTACTGTAGAGGAGCTGTGAACAGTAGATAACAGTGAGGGGGTCTCCTTTCAGATATAGGTCTTACTGGCTCCACCTCTAACTTCTGCATATCTGGGGTTATCACTCAGGAGAGAGAGGAGTAGTCAAAAACAAGGAACGAGAATCAGGATTAAAGGGTGCCCAAGACTGCATTTCATCTTGGGCCATTCAGGTGTTTAAGGAAGAGGGATGGCACATTTCTCCCAAATCCAGCTAACTTGGCAGGGGTTGGGGAGACTTCACCTGACCCCTACTACCCTCAAAAGCTTTTGAACTTCCAGGAGCCAAGGAGGACCCTGGACAGAAACCAGAGCCAAGGACTTCCCTTCCCCAGCCCCTAGGTTGAGGCTGGCCTCACTTGCACACATTGACCCATTCCGTGACTTTGCACTCGTCACACAGCACATAGCAGCACCAGTGGAAGCGGCAGTGGCAGCGCTCAACTCGCGTCTGCCGGAGCACGTTGTGCCCGCGGCCGCAGCACAGGCTCCCGCAGCCATCCAGCAGGCGGCTGGTCTTGTTGCAAGCCCGGCCTCTCGTGCCCGGGGAGCCCACCGTGGGGTCTCGCTCGCAGAAGTCGGGAGACTTCTCAAAGTAGACCAGCTCTCCTGAGAGGCGCCGGGGACGCAGGCGGGGTTGGAAGGCTCCGGAATTGCGGTTGTGGGTGTCAATGAAGATGGCTCGGCCCAGCCGCTCCCTCAGCGCTGCCCCCACGGCCCGGAACTCTGGGGCTGCCCTCCAGCAGGTTTTAAACTGGCAGCTGCCCGAAGTGCCATGGCACTTGCATTTCCGCTTCAGGTTTTCAGTTACCACCTAGAACATCAGAGAGGAAAGAGGTGGAGGTGAGGGCAGCCCAGAGGCCCAGCACCCAGGAGGCAAGAATGATTGGGATGGCAGAAGAGAAAGGGCTTTGCAAAGCCAGCAGGTGCCAAGCTGGGTGCGTTGGCTGTTTGCAGATGCTGAGCTGAGGCTGGGTGTCTTGCAGATGCTGAGGGGCCGCCACCATCCCACATGCTACTGCTCTGCTGTGCTTCTCAGCGGCTAGCCAGGACTCAAGAAAGCCAGGGAACCCAGGTCAAGATGCATTCACATACCTGGCGCCCCACCCTGTTGTTATGGATTCTCATTCTCGCCTGGATGTCCCGGGGAGCTTCCCTGGAATCCAAGAAGTCCCGAGAGAACTTCTCTCCAAAGTCCATGTCATGGTTACAGCCACCCCATTCCCACGTGTCCTGGGGGCCAGGGCTGGAGCCTGAGCCGGGGCCAGGGCTGGGCAGGGAGTGGGGAAAACTCTTGCCCCGGGACAGCGCCTGCAGCTGCAGCAGTTTGGACCTGAGCCGATCCTGTTCACCGCTGCCCTTCCAGCCACAGCCACAGCTCACCAGCTTGCCCAGGCTGCAGGCTGTGGCTACTGCATGCATTACCCCAGCAGCCAGCATGGAGAAGGAGAAGGCACTCTCGCGGAAACCTGGTTGGGGGGGAGGGGGAAAAGAAAGGCAAATGGTGGAGGGGACATTGACAGGCACCTGAGGGTGGGAAGGCGATTCCTAACTGATTCCTGACCCTGCCGGGCAGATCAGAAAGCCCAGAGCCTGATTTCCCTAACTGTAAGGGAAGACGGTGGATCCAGATGATTTTTGGAGACCCATTATCCCTCTTAAAAGTCTGTGGTTTTCAGGTGTGGATGAAAGAGCTCGCCCAGGGGGGAGGAGACCCTGGGATTGGGATGACTAAGAGGGAGTCCCTGAGGTCTTTGAAGATGAGTTCACTGAGTTCCACATCTGAAAGCCTTCGAAATTCCCCAGCCCTGCAGGAAACTTTAGGGGGTGAGGGTGGTGGGGTGGGGAGAAGCCTTTGGGGTTCTTTTTATTTCTTCAGGATTATGTTAATCAGTCTTTTAATCAAGCTACCCTCCACCACCCCAACACCCCCAAAGCACTCAAGCTGTGGAACTGCCCAGGTCTGAGTTTTATATTTGCCCATCAAGACTGTTTATCCTAACCTGCTATTACCTTATAAAATACTGGGGAGCGGAGAGGGATGGGGTGGAGGGGATTTTTCCTAATGCCCTCTTAAAAGATTGGCTTCTGTGTTATGTTTTTTTGGGGGGTCACGGAAGCACAAGATGATAAGCCCTTCCCAGGCTTGGATAGACACACGCCCCATCTAAAGGCAAAGCCTTCTCCTATGCCAGGCTCTCAGCAGTAGAGGGTCCCTCGCCACCCTGTAGGAGCCCTGAGAAGATGAAAGGAGTAGAGGCCAGGCTCCTCAGTGCCCAGGACCCAGGGCCTGGACCAGCCTCCGGATCCCCCAACCTCAGCGTTCCAAGAACAAAGCTGTTTGCACACGTCCTGGGAATTCCCCTGCAGACGGCATCTGCCTATTAACCCTATAGTCCCCGAAGCACTGCCCCCACCCCCTGGGCGGAGCCCCCCACGGATCTTTGCTCCTGGGGAGCAGGGCGTGGGGAGAGGCTGTGATGCCTCCCAGACCATGCCTTCCAGACCAGACCAGCAGTGACCTGTTCTCTGCCCCTCCAGCCATTCCTCACCTGCTCAGGTGAGGGACACCTGGGAACTCCACAGCTCAGAGGAGGGGGCTGCTCCCCAGCTTCAAAGCTATCAGGGTCTTTGTTCCCAGCTTTGGCTCCTGGGAACCCCAGCAATTAGGGGAGCAGGTTTAACCCTTAAACGGTTGGGGGCGTCACTCCACCCCCGCTGAGGCTCTGGGGACACCAGCCTGGACTTGTCCAGAGAGGAGGGAGGGGAGAGAGAAATGGGGGCGGGGAGGAGCAGAATGGGGGCGTTTGAAGCTTCCAGGGCTGGGGGCGTCTCTTGTTCACAGGTGCAACCCAGATTGAGCAGGGCGGAGGCAGGAAAGGGGGGGAGCCCTGGGGTAGGGGAGCGAGGACCCAGCTGCCTTGCCGGCAGCGAGCAGGTGGGAGTCAGCACCGTAGGGGCCCAGACGGGTGGCCAGACCCGGCTCAGCCCGGCTCCCGGGGGGAATTCCCGGAGAGGCCCCTCCCGGAGCCTTGAACCCGTCCCTTCCCGCCTCCGCTCGCCTCGGCCTGCCCCCCGCACCCCAGCCTCGGCGGCGGCGCAGACCCCGCCCCTCCAGGCTCACCGCGCTTGAGGATGGCGCTGTGGTGCGGCAGGCGGCCGCCGCCCTCGAGTGCCGAGCAGTTCCAGCGCTGGTCGCGCAGCTGGTGCTGGCACTCGTGCACGGCGACGTGCAGACCCTGAAGCGCAGAGGCCGTCACGTCGGGGCTGCGCAGGCACAGGCCCAACTGGCGCTTGCTTAGGCCGGACAGCGTCAAGCACACGGTGTTGGCCGTCAGCGGCGGCTCCCCGGGCAGCTTCAGGCCCAGAATCTCATTGCTGAGCGCCCTGGGAACAGAAAGGGCGTCTCTGGTGTCCGGACCCCCTCCACCGCCTCCACTCCCGGCCTGCACTCCCCGAGGGCAGGTGTTCGGAGGAGGGCTCAGAGGTACCACCGCGGGGCGGGGGGGGGGGGGGTGCTGCTCACCGACTGCACACCGCAAGGAGCAGGAGACCCGCGAGGCCCAAGGGCAGAGTCCGCTGCTGGGGCTCCTCCAGCATGTCGAAGCCCGGAGGCTCCGGTGGGCAGATGTGGTCAGGGCCTGTGGACAGGGAAGAGAGATCTGATGTGAGATTGGGGACAAGGGTGGCTTGCTCGGGGCTCCTAACCCGTTCTGGCTCTAATCACCCATCCCCAAATAAAACCCATTCCCACAGTCCTGGACGGCTGAAAGAGGAAGAACCCAGACCTCACGCAAGCCCTGGAGCCCTGCCCGGTCAGACACAATGTACACACAGACACACACGCACACATTCAAACTCAGACACACGGACCACCGCCTCCCACTGCTCCCTCTCCGAGCTCTCCCCCCACCCATAACTGGCTCCCACGCCCCCAGAGGCCACGGAGTGCAGGTATTGTCAAAGGAGAATGGAGAGTGGGCTCCCCCACTCCCCCTGGCACCTCCCCGCTCAGTGGGGAAGGAGGGAGGGGACGCTCCAGGTGCAGCTAGAAGCGGGAGGGGAGCCGGGTTCTCTCCGGTGTGGAACCCGGTGTGGGCAAAGCTGAGTCCCCGCCTTTCCCAACTACTTGCGCCCCTCCTCAGCGGGCTGCCCGTCTGGTCCCCACCCCCCTTTGCAGCCACTTCATTGCCCACCAAACTTGGAGGCACCCTTTTATGCTCTGTCTTTATCCCTGGCAGTGTCTCTGGCTCTCCGCGCTTGCGGGTGGGCGTCCGTCGGTCTGTCTGGTCTGACAGTGCACCGGTTCCGTCCCCAGGGGCTCGCGCCCCTGCCCCTCCCTTGCTTTCTGGGCTCCGATTACCTCCAGCGGTTCCGGTGCTGGGTCCGTGACCGGCGCGGCTGGGCCGCCTGGACTAGGCTCGGGCTGCTCAAACTCTGGGGAGACTGCTCCGGGTTCTGCCCCCTCGGCAACGCTGCATTCTTCCAGGGCTGGGCCACTCCTCTCCGCCAGCTTCCCCCAGCGCCGCGGCGGCCGCGGGGAAGGAAGGGCGGGAGGAAGGGAGGGAGTGCTCGAGAGAGCTAGGAGAGAGCCGGCAAGCGCAGAACTGCAGCTCTGGCTCTGCTGGCGCACAGCTCCCCGAGGCTCGGCCCGGCTGACGGAGCTGCGGCCCCTCCCCGAGCCCGGGGCATCCCCTCCCCCCTCCCCCCTCCCCGCCTTGACCAGGGGAACGCAACCGCTCCCCCTCCTCCCAGCCTACACACACACCCTCTCCCCCGACGCCCGCGTCGAGCTCAGCCTCGCAGAGCAGGGAAATGGCCCGAGTTCCTCTCACCTGCGCTGGGGTCCCCAAAGCTGCAAAGGAGAATGCAGCCACCCAGACCGGCAAGCCGGGACCGCGTCCCGGTGGCCAAACCTTTCATCATCTTTGCCTCAGTTTCACCACCAAGAGCGAGGTGACTGGCAGGCTCCTTCGACAAGCCGAGGACGGAGCTGAACGGGCGTCTGGCTTCCGGGGTTGGACAGCGGCTTGCAGAGTCCGGAGCTGGGAGCGCAGCCGTCCGCAGGGCGCTGGGAGCCAGCTGGAGAGGCTTAGGACTGTGGGCTTGGCAACCGCCCATCTCAGAGCCCTGCACCTCCCCCTTGGGAGGGGTCAGCTTTGGCCTTGGAGTTTGGCCCCAGCTGAGGTTCAGGTAGCCCCATAGCTCTTCAGCCTGCCTTGCAGGCATCCTGGCCCACAGCGATCTTCCTACCCTTCTGAGGATCCCTGCTGCGAGGTGGCAGGTGCACTTCACACAGGCTGAAGAGGGTCTCGGGATCCCAAACTGAGCCCAGCCCCAGGCAGTCAGGAAAGACCCCGGTCCTGGGATACACAGGCAGAGGCAAATCGCCTCCAGGAGCTCTAGCGGTGGCAACGAAGGGGTTAGGCGCCACCGAGCTCCCGCCTGAGTCACCCTTGCAACTCTAACCACTGCGGGCTATTTTTGCCAGAGAGGGGCCCCAGGCTTCCCAGCCACCCCCAGCCCCTGCCAGACCACAACCCAAGGCACGGCTGGCCCCGCGCACCCCAGGCGAGGCGCGTTGACTCAGACACGGCTCCCCAGGAGGCAGAGGCACGGGGCTGATGCCCGCAGCCAGAGGCCTCTTCCTTGGTGGTGGTAGCACAACTCTACTGGAGAGCCGGCTGTGAGGCTGCAGGTCCTGCCTTGGGCTGCAGGGGGCGCCGCGTCCAAGATGGAAGATGGGGGATTTAACGCATGTTGGGATTTTCCTGAGCACCTTCTTGTGCCAAGCCCTGCACAGGCCAGGGAAGTGAGAGTGCCATGGTCCCTGGCACTGGGCAGCCTGGACCGAGAGGGATGCTTTGCTCTCATTTTGCACCTCTGCACAGCGGGAGGATGGGGGGACGGAGCCCAAGTGCTGTGGACCCCCCTCCCATTTAGAGGACAAGAGCCAAACCACATGTGGCTTTTGAGGCCGCTAGAAGCTGAAGCCCTATCTCAGTAGCTTTCATCCATAAACCTGGATTCCGTGGTCCCTGCCAATGTCCTGGCCCCTTTTCCTGAAATCCACCAGTGTCCCTGGAGTAGGGGATCCTAGACCCCTTTTTCCATGGGGACCTCATGGACACTGGAACTTCTCCATTTGTCTCCAGATTTCCCTCGAGTGGTTTTGGTGGTTGTTGATCTCGCTGGTGTCTTTTGCTTTGCCTATGGATTCTACCTTTGTCGTGTTCACACAGCATTGCTGTCAGGTGCCAACAAGGGGCCAGGCTCAGAACCAGTACCATAGGTTTCAACTCCTCAGTGACCCCTGTGCCCTCCGTGCTGGACTGTTCCAAATCCCAGCACCCCTACTCCAGCTCCCTGTCCCAGATGAGACCCGGCCTGGGGACGAGCGGCCACAGGCAGGCTGACTGGGTGGCCTGAGCTGGCCCACAGTGCCCTCAGTCCGACCGGCTGGCCTGAGCGCTGACCCGCAGGCAGCTCAAGGGCGGTGGGACAGGCGGGGCCTGGAGAGGGCTGCGGGTGCACGCCCATTGCCTAATACCCCAAGCACGCGGCCAGCTCCAGGAAAGAGGAGGGGCGGGAACCAGAGAGACCTTGACAAGGGTTGGGGCCTTCACGGGAGGGGGCTCGCAGGGGGCTGTCGGCACGGCAGGGAGGGAGTGCACGTGGATGAGCGGCATGGAGGGCTGCTCTTCCCATCGTGAGGCCACAGAGTGGATAGAGAGCAGTGTGGAGAAGAACACTGGGGCTCTGGAGGGCGGGGGTCAGAGAAAAGGGTAGGGGCCCCTGGAGATTGGGGGGATCAAGCAACCGAGGCGGTGGCTAAAGCCGGGCGCAGCCTGGGGAACCTCCTCCTCCTCCTCCTCCCCCCATGTTTGCCTTGGCCCAGGGTCCCGGGTGACTCATCTGTTGCTAAGCCGCTGATAGGGGCGGCCAGGCCCGGGGAACCCAAATTATAGGCCCAGGAGGGATGGATGCGCCTGAAGCGGTGAGCTCAGCCGCGCTGCCTACCCTCCGCCTCGAAAGCCTGCTGCAGCACCGCAGGCCACCACCAGGAGGCACCAAAGGGTCTGCGACCAGACCGTGCTGGACTCAGGCAGCGCCCCCTCCCCCCTATAATCGGCAGTGAGCTCCAGCAGTCTGTGGGGGTCACCCTAGGACATGTCCCCCTTCTCTGCTAGTGCCTTCCCAACCCAATGGGGCAGTGCTGCCTGCTGACGCTTCGAATGAATGTAGGCTTCCCCACCCACAAACTTGCAGCCTTGGTCCCCTGCTTCCTCCCTCCACCCCATCCCAGGGTCCAGGCAAAGCTGCTCCCCTCCTCCAACAGCTCACTCCTATCCCTTGTCCAGAATAGAAATTTGCTATAGATTTTTTTTTCAAGCCCTTAAAGTTATCTGTGGTCAAAAGCGATACAGAGAAAAATAAAGTGGGGTAAAGGAGGTTGGTAGTGGGGTCTTGATAAAGACAGAGGGAAAGGAAGAGAGGGAATGAATACTTGGAGAGCATTCCAGAAAACAGGAGAGCAGGTGCACAGATCCAGGCAAGTGAGCATGCCAAGAAGGCCAGTGTGGCAAGAGGGGAGGAATCCATGGGGAGACATGGCGGAAAGCAAAGGAGGATGAACTCAGAGAAAACCAGGGGCCTGAGAAGCTACTGGAAAGATTTTGATTTTTGCACTGAATGACATGGGGTATCGGAAGATTTGAATGACATGATATGACTTCCATTTTGGAAAAGATGGCTCTGGCTGCTGTGAGGGGAATGGACTGTGGGGTGTGTGTGTGTGTGTGTCAAGGATAGGAGCAAGGAGAACTTTGAGAAGGCCATTGTCCTAGGCCTTTGTCCTGAAAGGATGGAGTTGCTATTTTTTTAAAAAAATATTTATTTATTTTTTAAAAAATATTTATTTATTTTTTTGAAAGAGTTACACAGAGAGAGGAGAGGCAGAGAGACAGCGAGAGAGGTCTTCCATTCACTGGTTCACTCCCCAATTGGCCACAATGGCCAGAGCTGCGCCAATCTGAAGCCAGGAACCAGGAGCTTCTTCCGGGTCTCCCACATGGGTGCAGAGGCCCAAGGACTTGGGCCATCTTCTACTGCTTCCCCAGGCCACAGCAGAGAGCTAGATTGGAAGAGGAGCAGCTGGGACTAGAACCGACGCCCATATGGGATGCTGGCACTGCAGGCAGCAGCTTTACCCACTATGCTGCAGCACTGGCCCCTGGAGTTGCTATTTACTGCGGTGGAAAAGACTGAAGAATGAGCAGTTGGGACAAGTAGGAATCAAGGATTCAGTGAATTCTGATGCTGATTCAAGTGGTAGACATGGAAGACCAGAGTGCAGAGACGCATATAAACTAGGGAATGTGAGTCTGGACAGTTCACCAGCGGAGTTTGAGTAGCTAGCGAAGAAGCTCAGATTGAACTTTGGGTGTGTCCCAGTGTTTAGAAATTGGATAAACAAGGAAGAACCAGATAGAGAGTGATAAGCAGCCAGTGAGGTAGGAACGGCTGTTCCAGAACCAAGTGGAGATGCATTTCAAGAAGGAGGAAGTGTTTAGCTGTGCCTACTGTTCCAGAAAAGTGACTGCAGTGAGCACCGAGAACTGACTATTGGGCAGGGCAACACGGAGGTTCATGGATGATTCTGCCAAGCAGGTGAGTTCAGAGGTGTGACTGGGGTGAAAAGAAAAAGGAATTGGCACGAGCAGAGAAATGCAGCAATCTTGGATGGCCATATGGGATCAGTTTTGTGGCTTTTCAGACAGGCGCTGTCACAGTGTGTTAGCAGGTGTATGGGTACACGCCAGCAAACTGGTGATGCGGGTGGGGGGTGGGGAGATGTATTCGTAAGGTGATTTGCTCTTCCCAGAAACAGGGCTAGGTCATTCATAGTGTGAATCCAAGCCTCAAGCCCTTCCTCACTTCCTTCCTACTCCTGGAGGTCACAATGCTGGACAAAGGATATGGGCCCCATTTCTCTCTTCCTACCTCTGCTTAATGCCAATGGCCACAGACAGGACTTCCTTGTCTTCCAGGCCCACCCGTCCCCCTTCCAGGTGGGGGTCTATCAACCTCTCCAGGCCTCCATGGGAAGATGTTGCTAAGGGGCAAAGGAAGACTGCTCATGGTACTGCTCATCTACTTGGGCAATCTCCGGCAGGTGTTTTCTGCTGAGACTATAGGCTTGGGACTGTGGATGATACTGAGCCACTACACCTTGTCCTTCAGGGATGAATCACTGGAGAGGCCAGGTACCCTGGGCTGGTCAGAGGGTCAGAGAAGAACAGGATCCTCAAAACTAGCCTCTGTCACACTTCATTTGGATTCATACGCATCTCTTTTAAAATGCTAAGTGTCCCAAGAATAGCATTTAGGCTTCCCAGGCATTTACTCCTCAGAATGATCTTCTCGCCTTGCAAGGGAAGCTTGGTCATTTCTAGGACTTCAGACACTTTAGGGTCAGGCCTGGGTAAATGAGTCAGAAAGCATCTTCAGGGGCTGGCACTGTGGGCATATGGGTGCCGGTTCAAGTCCCGGCTGCTTCGCTTCGATCCAGCTCCCTGCAGATGGGGCCTGGGATAGCAGTAGAAGATGGCTCAAGAGTTTGGGCCCTGCACCTGTGTGGGAAACCCAGAGGAAGCCCCTGGCTTCAGCCTGGCCCAGCCCTGGCTGTTGTGACCATTTGGGGAGTGAGCCAGCAGATGGAAGAGCTCTTTCTGTGTCTCTCCCTCTCTTGGTCTATAACTCTGCCTCTTAAATACATCTTTTTAAAATAAGTAAGTAAGTAAGTCTTCAAGGACAAGTGAGAGGAAGAAAAGAGGACCCAAAAGGAAGACTAGAAGGTCCTAGCAACCACTTTGATCTGTTTGTCCATTTCAGAAGGGCACCAGACTGCTGGTAGGTCCCTGGTAGGAAGCAATCAGCACACAGGAGCTTTGAGTCAAAATGATCTGGCCCTATTAGCTGTGGCCTCAAACAAATGCTGGGTCTCTTTTTTCTCCTCTAAATTGGGGAAAAAGAAGAGACAGAGAGGCAGAGACCTCTGTGTGGTGGAGGAGGGAAGAGGCTGTGGTCACCAGCCTGGCGTTGTCTCCTGTGGCCATACAGAGAAAAGCAGGCACTTCTCCAATAGGAAGCCCTGGAGTGGACTTGCCGTTGAGCTGGAGCCCCTGGGAGAAAGGAGAGAGAAGGGTCGGTACATCGGATGGAGTGGGTCCAGACAGCCCAGTGTGGCCAGACTGGAGAAAAGCGGAGTTTGGGAGGAAGACAGAAAAATCCAGAGAGAAGCACACAGGTCGAGGCACAAGTGCCCTACCCCAGCCTTCTGTTCGGACAGAAGCAGCCTCTCTACAATCCTCTCCTGCCGCACCCACGCCTCTCATCCCTTCTGCCATCCTCTCTGAGCCCAGCCAGTGCTCTGAGACCCAGCTGCTCAGACACCGCCATGGCTGTAGGCTCGGCTCCCTCCCCCAATCACAGGAGCAGGTCCACACACGCCGCCACAGGATGACACACCGTAAGATGGCGCAAGGGAAAGAGAGCGACAGAGTGACACATATACACATACTTTGTCTCCCCCTGCGCTCACTCATCCACCCACCTCCACACAGTCCCAGACGCTGCTGGCTGGCTGTGCGTCCCTCAACAAGCTCCACCTCCTTCCTGACACACAGCCCCAGGCCACCGCAGGGCTGGGATGACTTGATCTCTTCTGGTGTGAGCTGAATTCCAAAATTCTTTGGAAAAGTTCCAAACATCTCAGAACAAGAAGTTTCTGCACAGGCAGACACACGGAGAGCAATGCACCCCCTCTAGAACACACCCTCATTCGCTCGCACTCACATTGTCACACTTAGCCCACTCATGCGCTCCTTGCCGGCATGCACAAACCGGTTTCTCTCCACGGCTGGGCTTAAACCCCCCCCACCCCCAATCACCGGGATTTCCCTGACCACAGCCCCACCCACGCATACACACCCCCTCCAGTCTCCCCCTTTTCCTTCCCTGTCCAGCCGTCGGGAGTTCCTGGGTGGGGAAGCGTCCCCCGGAGTTGCTGACCAGAACCACAACTTTCCTTCCGCTACTCAGGATGGGGGAGAGAAGGGACGCCGGCGGGACCCGGGGTGACGTCGAGGGGACAGCCCCACCGCAAGCGGCGAGGCGGGTTGGGCGCCTGGCGGGTTCTCCCAGCAAGCACATTGTCGCCGCGCCCCCTGGCGGATGCTAGCCCCGACGGGCTCCGGACGCGGAGAGAAGTGAGGCGGGCGCGCGTGGGAGGGCGTCCCAAGGGGAGGGGTCGGCGGCCAGTGCAGGCCCGGAGGCGGGGGCCACCGGGCAGGGGGCGGGGGGATGAGCCCCGACGGCCAGCCCGTCAGCTCTCGGCTCAGACGGGCGGGAGCCAGGACCCCGCTCGCCGCCCATTGTCTGCGCCCTGACCGGTGTGCCCTGGTGCCACAGTGCGGCCCCGCGGGGCAGCCTCCTCTCGTCACTTCAGCCAGCGCCGCAACTATAAGAGGCGGTGCCGCCCGCCGTGGCCGCTTCAGCCCACCAGCCGGGACCGCGAGCCATGCTGCTGGCCGCCCGCCTCCAGGTTCCTTAAAGCCAGACTGCGAACTTTCGCCACTGCCGCCACAGCCGCGTCCCGCCCCACTGTCGCGGGCAGCCGCCAAAGCCGCCGCAACTACAGCACAGAGCGGGCAAGGCCAGGCAGGCCATGGGGTGCTGGGCGCTGCTGCCCAGCTGGGTTTCTCCTGCGCTGCTACTGGCGCTGGCCGCCCTGCCCGCAGCTCTGGCGGCCAACAGCAGCGGCCGATGGTGGTAAGTGAGCTGGTCGGGGTCACCACTTGTCCCGGGGCGCAGAGCCAGGGGTCAACCCTACCCAGCTCCCACGCTCTGGGATCCGTCAGCCAACTGGCTAGCTGCGCCGACATCCCGGGGCACGCTGGCGCGCACTGCAGCCCCACTCCCCACCCCAGGCTACAGCTCTCCCGCAGTGGGGTGAACTACCCGCCTGCAGAGACCCACCATACCCAGGACAGGGAGCCCACTCCCTTCTAACACCGTTCTTCCCTTTTGAGTCCCAAGGCAGGCTTCACGTTGGTGTCCACATCAGAAGTCTCACCACCAGGGAAAGGCAAGGGCCAGGCATGGTCTTAGAAGGGATGCGAGTAGAGGGGTGGGGCTCAAGCATTGCATGCCCTGGGCGGGCAAGGACTGCAGGTTCGGAGCTCCATGCTTCGGCTGGCAGAGAGGAGGCTGGGGGAACACAGGTGGCCACTCAGCCTCCGGGTTCCCTATATCTCTGTCCAGACCCTGCATGGTGGGCTCCCGGACACACATGCCTGGTTATTTCAAACAGGCGAGCTCGGCAGCACGGGGTCATTACCTTATTATTTATCTTCCGACGGCTGCCTCCCTACACAGAGCCCCAGGCAGACGGACAGAGTGAAGACGGCGTTTACCGTTAAGGTGCGGGTCCGCTTGGGGAACCTGAGCTCCAGTTTCGTGTCCTCCCAGGGGCATCGTAAACGTCGCTTCCTCCACGAACCTGCTAACTGACTCCAAGAGCCTGCAGCTGGTGCTGGAGCCCAGTCTGCAGCTCCTGAGCCGCAAACAGCGGCGCCTGATCCGGCAGAACCCAGGCATCCTGCACAGCGTGAGCGGGGGGCTGCAGAGCGCCGTGCGCGAGTGCAAGTGGCAATTCCGGAACCGCCGCTGGAACTGCCCCACCGCGCCGGGGCCCCACCTCTTCGGCAAGATCGTCAACCGAGGTGGGTGCCAGGAAGGCGCTGCTTCCGGGAGCAGAGGAAACGCAGGGTTACCCCCACCCCCGGGGCACCGGCGGGAGGGCGAGCGAGTGCAGGGAAGACGTCCCGGGCGCTGTAAGGTCACTCTGTCCACCTGCCGAGCGCCCAGAGCCCAGCGCGGGCTCCAGGGCACGCTCTTTCTAACCGAGCGCTTTCCAACTGTATGCCTTGGGCACGAAGCTTGATTCTTCTGAACCATCGCCCCAGAGAAAAGGAGCTGCTGGTCGGGGGGGGGCCGCCGGTCGGCGAGCTCTCCCCACCCCCACCCCGTCCCAGCGATGTCCGGGAGCTGTTGTGTAGAGGAACGCGTCTTGCCTCCTGCCCAGCGCGGCTTTGCGTGAGCCACATAGATGGCAAGTTTGGGCTGAAGCGAGAACTTGCCGATGCAAAGTCCTCCTGCTCCCCTGCTTTCGGATTTTCTCTCTGGGGCTGCCCCATTTGAGCTCCAGTCAAAATGCGCGCGGAGAAGTCGGCGAGTCGTGATTACGGGTGTGCGCCCGCCCACACACCTACTTGCTAAAGGCGACCCGGGTCCCAGCTCTCAGGACCGCGGGGTCCCAGGCCGAGCCCCCCTCAGGAACACTGTTCCTGATCTTGTGCTTTTCATCCACAGGCTGCCGGGAAACAGCTTTTATCTTCGCCATCACCTCTGCGGGGGTCACCCACTCGGTGGCGCGCTCCTGCTCCGAGGGTTCCATCGAGTCTTGCACGTGCGACTATCGGCGGCGCGGCCCCGGGGGCCCCGACTGGCACTGGGGGGGCTGCAGCGACAACATCGACTTCGGCCGCCTCTTTGGCAGGGAATTCGTGGACTCCGGGGAGAAGGGGCGGGACTTGCGCTTTCTCATGAACCTGCACAACAACGAGGCGGGCCGCACGGTGAGTCGACCTGGGACCCGCGGGCTCGGGGGGGGGGGGGGCACCAGGAGAGGGCGTCCCAGAGGGCGCAGGAGGCTTGGAAGGAAGCCGGGGAAGGGAAGAGATAAGCAGTCGAGCGAGGGCTAAGGGCTTCCTGGGCTGAGAGGCACAGATGCAACCAAAGCGATTACAAGTTGTGCAACCCACAGACTGCCTCGCCTACGGCCCTTCAGTGCTACAGACGAGAAAAATAAGCCTGGGAGGCTGAGATGGACGCGCGGCTCCTGTCCAATCTCGGCGGCACACTTCGTCACGTCCCTTTCCCTGGGCTTGGCTAGGCCGGGGCTGCTGCCGAGAGAGGGCCTGCTGGCGTCCGGGAGGGGGCGGTGTCTGGGCGGGTGCCCCGGCGCTAGCAGTGCCCTGGGACGCGCACGCTCTCTTCCCTCACAGACCGTCTTCTCTGAGATGCGCCAGGAGTGCAAGTGCCACGGCATGTCGGGCTCGTGCACCGTGCGCACGTGCTGGATGCGGCTGCCCACGCTGCGCGCCGTGGGCGACGTGCTGCGCGACCGCTTCGACGGCGCCTCGCGCGTTCTCTACGGCAACCGCGGTAGCAACCGCGCTTCGCGGGCGGAGCTGCTGCGCCTGGAGCCCGAGGACCCGGCGCACAAGCCGCCCTCCCCACACGACCTGGTCTACTTTGAGAAATCGCCCAACTTCTGCACGTACAGCGGACGCCTGGGCACCGCGGGCACCACGGGGCGAGCCTGCAACAGCTCGTCGCCGGCTCTGGACGGCTGCGAGCTGCTGTGCTGCGGTCGGGGCCACCGCACGCGCACGCAGCGCGTCACCGAGCGCTGCAATTGCACCTTCCACTGGTGCTGTCATGTCAGCTGCCGCAACTGCACGCATACGCGCGTGCTGCACGAGTGTCTGTGAGGCGCCGCGCTCGCTCGCGCCCGGGGAACGCTGGCCTCCAGCGCTTCCCCCAGACAGACTCGCTGGCCTGCCAGACCCTCAGAAGCGTCCCCACCCGCACCCCGTACCTCCAGCCACGTTCCCACGGTGGTGCAGATGGTCCCTCCCACCTCCATCTACCTGGGGACTCCTCAAACCACTTACCTGGGGCGGCACGCACCCTCTTGCCACTCTGAGGGATCTGCCCCAGACCTACCTCCCTCCCTGTCCGCGGGAGACCCCCCTTGTTGCACTGCCCCCTTCCCCTGCTTGACCAGGTGAGAGAAGGATTGGTCTTTTCCCCACTCTGAGGTCAGCTCCCTGCTCCATGGTACCAGCGACCCCTGCGCCTCTCTCTTTCCCTCTTTGTCCTTTCTCTCTCGGTCTCCATGCACCCCTTCCCCCTCCCAGCTTGCTAGGGGTGCAAACCCTGAAAACACACACAGGCACACGCACACACACACACACATACACACACCTGGGCCATCAGGGAATTCTCCTCCCCGTGAGCAGCTGAAGCAGGAGATTGCGGGGTGAAAAGGCAGCTGTGGTGATGTGGACCAGGAGGCCCCCCTCCAGAAGGGGATGAGGGTGGGGGGCAACCCAGCAGCAATGCCCCCCACCCCGTTCTCCAAGCCTCTGCCCTGAAGCCATTGAACAGCTGTGAGCCACCCTCAGCCACCTCCTACCCCTTCCTGTCCTGCCTTCTCATTAGTGTGTAAATAATTTGCACTGACACGTGGATACAAAGCCACGAATTTGGTTGTTGTAAATAAAACTATTTATTGTGCTGGGTTCCAGCCTGGTTTGCAGAGACCACCCCCCAACACCTCTCACCCCCCAGCCCCTCTCCTTTGGCCCCTGTACCCTTTCCTCTACTCTTCCCAGCTTCTCAAAGATGCCTTTGCCCACCGGAATCAGTATTTCCTCCCACTGTAGCTATTAGTGGCTCCTCGCCCCCATCGGTGCAGTATCTTCCTCTGCAGAATAAAATCTATTTTTATCAATGACCTGTTGGCTTTTCCTTGAATTCAGAACACGACCTTCACCCTTCTTGCATCCTTGCCTGGCTTAGGTGCTCTTAAACAAATAGAACACATCATCAGGGGAAGGCTTTTCTGATCCCACACGAGGGCCCTGAGATCCTGACCCTTCCATGGCCCTAATGACATCTCCTAAGAGAACCCGATAAAGAACCAAAAGACCCCGCAGAGGTCTTCCTTCTCCAACACCACTGGCTAGGAGATGCGGGCGTGTGCATTCACGCAGTGAGTGGGGATTAGACCAATTCCCCAGGGCTGTGACGGTAGTGCCGATGGAGTGGCAGTCAGGACCCTGTTCAAAGGAGCGGGAAAAGAAACCCAAGCAGAAAAGGGTGTTGCCCCCAGTGTATAGCTATTGGTTCCTCAAGCCTGCCTTCCCCAGCTGCGCTCAGGGCATTGGGTGGTGGTGAGGTTTTCCTAACAGGGAAACACCCTATTAGGACCCTATTAGGATCCCATCCTCACTCTGGGCTCAGGGGCATCCAGGTGACAGCGAATGCACTTCAGACAGGGACCCAAAAGCTCAGAGACAATGGTGGAAGAGAAAAGTGGAACAGGAGGCTTAAGATCCAAACACAGGCCACACTTAACTGAATACAACCAAAAGGAAACCCAGTGTCAACCATAGCCACACCATTAAGCTGGCCATTTTCATAAACAGTGACAGCACCAGTGTGAAAACTTCTAAGTGCACATTCATAGACATCAGCAGGAGTTCTAATCCTGCCCACAGTCCTGAGCCCATCTCTAACTTTAATCCCCTCCCTGGTTCTGGGACTAGGTAATTCTCACATCCGACAAACACTAACTCCTTCCTAAATGCCAGCGATTGTCTGGAATCCTGACCCTTCTGAGGAGAGGAGCTGTGAAGCACCGCCCCTGTCCGCCCGAGGGCACCAGCGGGTCCCAGCCTGCTCTCCCCAGGACGCTGTCACTGCCTCCCACTTCTCCCTGGATACGTAAACTCTGACCCCTCTTGGCCTTCGGGATCTGTGTAGGGAGAGCAGAGCAGAATCAGGAGCTGCCCAGCACTTACAACTGCAGCCCTATGCCTTAATACCGCCTCGGGTTTGATGGGAAGCCCGGCGGGAAGAATGAAAACCTTAGTGATCATGGGTAGGAGGCACTCGAAAGGCCTTAGGGTCCAGTAAAGAGCACCTGCAGAGAATGCCCAGTCTGTAATCCAGACAGTGGCTCCATCCCACAGCTCTCAGAAGCCAGGGGATGTAGGGGGCACTTGGAGAAGCAGCAGGGGTCGGAGAGGGGGTCCAAGGGTTGACAACTGTCTCTACCACTCTCAGCTAAACTCTGAACTCCCAAGAAATGGAATCAGAGTCAGCTTTCAGGCCTGGCAGCTGGGTGGTGGTGGTGGTGGTCTCTGGGGGTGAACCGACACACAGGAGCTGGAGGAAGAGCAATGGAGAGCCCCCTAAGGAGACACACAAACTGGCCTGATCAGAGGCGGTTACGGCACCTTATCCTTGTAGGGAGGGGATGAGGTTCACATGAGAAAATGTTGGGTCATCTGAACACTTGCTACCACCGCCTCCGTACCAGGTAAATGCCAAATACTGCCAATGCAGTGATGTTCAAGCCACAGGACCTGCCTGGAGGAGGCAACTGTCCGGCCAGAGAATCAAGCACCCTGACAGATATTGTCCATGTAGTAGGCGGGACGTAGTGTGGACTTGGTGAGGTGGAAAGCCAAAATCTGCATGTGCAAGACGTTTAAGGATACACAACTCCCCATCCCCACCCCACTCTTCCTCACTCAAGCCTACAACAGAGTAGCCTTTTTCTTTCCGAAAGCTGGGCCTGTGTGATCAGTGGGGGCTGTGGGGAGTGTGGTGCTGTAAGGGGCATGCAGAATGGCTGCCTCCTAAATGAAACAGGATCTAATGAAAACGCAAACCCTTTGTAGGAGCTGCAAAGTGCCCCATAGCAGCTAGGAGCTACTGATATTGTCTGACGCACTATGGTGCTACCCTCCCCAGGGCTGCAATGGACTAACCCTGGGCAGAAACACCTGTGCCTAGAAAGAAGCCTCGACAAGTGTGCAGGGCCCGGGACGAAGCTGGCTCAGGGTGGTGGCCCCGGGGAGTTGTGTCATCAAGAATTTTGCTGGATGCTCCTCTGGCTCCCGCCCACCTCTGATCTTAAGGTGCCAGGGGCCATGCACCCAGTGGATCAGAGACTGGCAGGGACCCTGGACACAAGGCTGGCTTAGGTAAGTGAATGAAAAGTTAGTCTTGAAATAAACCCGGGGGGGGGGGTGGAGGTGGGGGGAGCGGAAAAGCTGAGAGGACCTAGACATCAGGCTGGTGCATGGTCCCCCAGGGGGGTCAGCAAGCTGGCTCCACTCACGCCCGCTCCACGCACCCTGGAAAAACCCTGTCAGTGGGACTGCAAATACGCTAGGGTCCAGCCGCCCCTCCCTCCGTCCCCCCACCACCACCCAGGCTGGCTCAGGTCTCCTCTCCCGGGCCCCGAGGAAGAAAAATAACAAAACGAGGAGAAAATAAGCTGTTTGGCTGTGGTGTGAGCTGGAATATCCATGCTACGCTGCCCACCACTCACTCTTACTCACTCTTTCCACACCCAGCCAGGGCGCCCGGGCATGAGACAGACCACCCTCCTGCCCCCTCCCCCGTCTGGGCTAAAAGCAGATGCTGGTGAGAGAGCAGCAAGTTATAAATATGCCCGAGGGAACTGCCGCCAACTCGCTCCCTTGTCATACCCTGGGAGGGGGCAGGGTGGGGTGGCTCCTGGGAGGAGCCAGGGCTGCCCCGTCCTGAGGCCCTGCAGGAAGTGGGGCTTCCAGGAGCGCGTGCGTTCTGGAAGCTGGAGGTGCCATAGGGATTCTTGTCACTCTGGATGTTTGCTTAGCTTGAAAGGGCCTTGTACCACCTCCCGTCCTCAGACCTTTTCCTCTCAGCAACACACAAGCTCGTTCATTCATTCATTCATTCATTCATTCAGCGGGCGCTCACTGAGGCACCCCTGCATGCCAGACCTACGCCCACGTCACGCATGCGCACACAGCTCTCCCGCGCCCGTGAGTGCGTGTTGTCTTAGCTGCCTGTTAGGATGTCCCCAGGAAAGGCCACGCTGCTTCCGGCTCCCCGGTCCAGCCTCAGACAGATTGGGGTGCTGGGTGGTGGGGGAACAACTGAGAATAGACACCCCACCACCCCACCACCGCCAGAGAGCCTGTTCTTGCTACTTCCCCTTAGATGAGGGCGTTCTCCCCTCGCCACGCATGTGCCCTGTGCGGGAAGCCAGTCCCCATTCTGGGGCCTCTTGAGGGGGCACCTGCCCAGGCTGTTAGAGCCTCCCGCCTCCCGCTCAGCGGAGCGAGAGGGGCAATGCCACCCTTCGAAGCTTCCAGCACTTCTCCACCCCCCCCCACCCACCAAGGCCCGACCCCTCCCTTCTCCCTTTACCCTATTAATCCTCGGAAGTGAAGGGGCCATCCCTGGCGGCCCCCTCGGCCCTATGGCGGCCCCTCGCCCTCCTCGGCTGGGGTCTAATTAACTCCTCCTGCCCCTGGTTTTCTGTGCCCCCTCCCCACTACCCCACCTTGTCGGCCCCGCCCCTCCGCTCGGCTTGTGCCCCACCACGGACATTCCAGCCAGGCCGGGCCCGTGTGCCAGGGCAACCAGGGCCGGACCGAGGCCTAATCCCCCCGCCGCCCGGCCCGGCCGGGGGAGCCCCACTCACCTCCCCACTCTCTGGAGGCTGCCCGGCTCGGCTGTGGCGGAGACACACAATCGGGACAAAGGCGCAGCCCCCAGGGGGCTAACTCAGCCTTCACGCCCAGGTTGTGCGGCATTTGGGGAGTTTAATGAATTGTCCATCATGCCTTTCAGGGCCCGCCGGTCAGCCTGGATTAATCTTCGGAGCCCTGGTGCGGTAGGAGACACTAAGCCTGTATTTATTACTCTCCCATTGTCACTAATTGAGGTAATTATCTGTGACTCTGGCCTGGCCAACAATGCCGCATTCACTCCAGGGACCTCGATGGGCCTGGCTCCCACTCTCCGCACCGACCCTCCCACCCCTCCTCACCCAAACCCGCCAAGGGCCAAGACAGGCCCTGGAGCATGCTGGGAAAGTGAACAATGTCCCACAATGCCTCACCTCCGACCAGGGTCTCCCACGGTCAGCACGGTGAGCGTCCTGGGAGAGACCTGGTTCTTCTGTGGCAGGTGCAAAGGGCGGCTACTTGGGGGTGGGGGTGGGGTGGGCAGCAGATGTGGCTGGCAGAGTCCTCAGGCCACAGACAACCATGTTTCTGAGTTCTGTGGTTTCCCGGATTGCCCAAAGCTCACCTCCCATAGCAGGTCCCATAGCAGGCCCACTCTGGCCAGGCCCCCAGAGCTGTCAGGGTTAGCGGCGTGATGGTGGATATGGTGGGGAGGTCGGGAGAGAGGACAGGAGAGGGCTTGTCAGGGCACCAAAGGGAAAGACCCAGAGAAGCCAACCAGGAATAGCAGGCACGAGTCACAGTACCCCCAAGCATCCATGCTGGGGTGGCTGTGCAGCCAGCTCCAGGGGAGGTGTAGCCTTGGATGGAGGAGCCAGGCCCCAGAGGAGCGGCCAGGTGGATATGGTTCCCCAGGACCTCGGGCCTGGCCCTGGGGAGCAGGGGTGTGTGTGCATGCACAAGATGGGGAGGGGAGAGAAAACGAAGTTTTGGGGCAGGACCTGCCTGGGATCCTGAGTACAGGAACCGCCCAAGACGGCACGTGGCACTGTCAGCGGAGCTGCTGGAGGGGCCAGGCCCATATCTGCACTGAGGCTGGGATCTGCCAGCTCCTTCTTCCACAGCCTCACTCCAGCTGTTCATTCTTTCAGGACTGGCCTGGACGCTATGTCCAGGCCGTGAGGGGACAGTTCTGGAAGGGCCATCACCCAGTGCGACGCTGAAGACTCTG